CAGCCCTGACTGGTTTGGCTCAGTGGATAGAGCGTTGGCCTGCCGACTAAGAGGTCCCAGGTTCGATTCTAGTCAAGGGCATGTACCTTGGTTGCTGGCACATCCCCAGTAGGAGGTGTGCAGGAGGCAGCTGATCGATGTTTCTCTCTCATCAATGTTTCTAGCTCTCTATCCCTCTCCCTTCCTCTCTGTAAAAAAAAAAAAAAAAAATCAATAAAATATATTTAAAAACAACAACAAAAAGAGTTGATCAGATTTGGAAGAGCCTCAGGTTATGTTCTTCTACCAAACTGGGTCACCTGCTGACATGGGGAGCACAGAAGACATCAGTTAGGGGAAGACCATGAATCCTCTTTTTTTCACATGCACCTTTCATACATAGACAGCCAGCTATTTCTCTAGCAAATGAGTTTATTTGGAAACAATAAAAAAAAATTGCAATTTGCTTCAAACCACTTGCCAGTGCCGAGAAACAGAGAAGAACATTCTTTCATGGACTTGGGAGGGGCCGTGGTAAAGGCAGCATCCACTGGAGGGAACGGCAATGTTGAAGTTTGGTGAGTTTTCATGGCTGAGCTATGGCAGGCTCCATTGGCTGAGCTGTTACAGGGACCTTTCCTTCTTCCCCCAGAGGTAGTGGTGTGGTGTTACGGCCTGTGGGAGAGGCAAGGTGTGTCTCTCCCTGTTGGGGGCGGTAGTGTGCATCCTTTTTGAGAGTTTTCTCTTCTAGCCTCCTGACTCCATTTTAAAGGTGCTTTCTGTTGATAGTTTTCACAGGGATGATTTTGAGACATCCAAGAGAGAAGTAGGCAGTCTGGCGATCAGGAGAAATACGGTTGGCCCAAGACACAGATATGCATTTTATTTATTTATTTTAATTTAAAAAAATATGTGTTTATTGATTTTAGAGAGTGAGAAAGGGAGAGGGAGAGAGAGAAAGAAACATCGATGAGAGAGAAACATCAATCAGCTGCCTCCTGCATGCCCTTTTCTGGGGATCGAGCCTGCAACGTAGGCATGTGCTCTGACCAGGAATAGGACCAGTGACCTCTTGGTTCAGGGGTCGATGCTCAACTACCGAGCCACATCGGCCCTGGCCGGGCATTTTGGACCCAAGGCAAAAAGGACCGTCAGGATATGGCCACGTGGAGCTTGTCAACGCTGCCGTGTTTTCAGGAGAGTGGCTTAGGGGTTGAGGAGATGGGGAAGTGGAGAGAAGAAAAATAAAGAGGCATCTCTACACTTTAGGCCTCCAACTCTCCATCCCTATCTCTTTCTCTCTGTAAAAACAAACAAACAAACAAACAAACAAATAAATAAATAAATAAAATCTATATATATAAAAGCAATAGTCTCAGAGGAGACTTTATAAAAATTACATTGCCCATGTTTCCTACTCTCCTCAGCCTAGACTGCGGGCCCTTGGTGTCCTGGTCTGTCAGGGTCACCCGTAGCCCCGACACCCGTGGGCCTCCTGTCGCTTGACCATTCAGTCAGAGGCCACAGCAGCTTCAACACAGCAACGTTCCCACGCTGAGGTGGTGAGGTGACCCACACCACGTTCACCCTCACCCAGCCATCCGTTTTCACAGCCCTGCAGTGGCTTTCGCCTGGCCAGGAAGGTGCTTCTGATTTAGTGACAAACTGCAAACGACCAGCGTGAAGTCGAAGTACGTGACTATGTTGGGTTGGGCTCCTTGGAACAGGCTCTGAGATGGAGCCTGGGGGCAGGTTATTGGAGTCTGGCTCTCGGATAAGGTGACCCGCTTTTTAACAATTCGTCCCGCTTCCCGGTGTTTTTTAAAAAAAGTCCCGATGTTTGGAAAGAATCTTACTCTAGGACCACCACCACCTGTGGGGAGCCAGGGGGCAGATAGGCTGGGCAGAGGGGGTCTGCGATGCGGTTGCAGCAAGGACTCGGCTGATCCTAGGGGGCGCCCTGGAGCTAAGATGCCCTTTAGAGGTGTCCCGTTCTGAGACCAGGGGTACTTGCCATTGCGCTGGTTGGATATGAATAGCGCCCGGTGGAGAGGGGCTGTAGCCTTAGAGGAGGCAATGACTGTTGACGGAGGGCAATCCCTGGGGGATGATGCAATGCCAAGCTATCAGCAGGCGGCAGTCCCAGCCGTTGGGGGGATAAGAGCCTTGGCCCATTAATTGTGAAACAGTGTCTAGCCTTCCCTGAAACATCTGGGCAGGTATTTCCTCTTTCCCAGGGCATGCTCACCCTAGAAACGACATCATTTGCTTCCTTTGGGAAAGGCTTGCATGTAGATTGGTAGTGTATGTGTATGGTGATGCTATAAGGTTTTTCCTCAGGTGGACCAGCCTGTCTTGTTTTTTTAAAAACATACTTTTATTGATCTAGAAAGGAAGGGAGAGGAAGAGAGACAATCATCAATGACGAGAGAGAATCATTGATTGGCTGCCTCCTGCATGCTCCCCACTGGGGATTGAGCCCGCAACCCGGGCATGTGCCCTGGCTGGGAATTGAACCGTAACCCCCTGGTTCATAGGTCGCTAGCTCTACCACTGAGCCTGCTGGCCGGGCCCCACCTGTCCTTTAGAAAAGGGGCCGTGTCTGTGATCTGGCTCAGGGTATGGGAACTGGGTGAGAAGAATGCCTTTCCGTTTTGATGGCCCCAGTCAGGTTTCAGAAAGCAGAACTACAGTTTTAAATATCAAGGAGTATTTCCGAAGTCTGCACAGGGCCACTTAGGATGCTACCGAATATCCCTGGGGACCAAGACCTCTGAGTGTTACTTCTTGCTGCCCATCCACCGTGTCCCCCTTGTCCCTGCCAGTTAAACGCTGCCCCTTGCTCACTGCCATCCCAGGACCCCATTATCATGGAAATCAGGGAGCCATCTCTCTGAAAGCATCTCTCCCACCATATCCGGCCACTGCGGAGCTTTTCTGTTGCTCCCCTTACTAATGAATGTATTTTCCAATGCCTGAGTGTAGACACTGTCACCTGGGCCTCTGGGGACATGGAGATTGGGGCTGAGTATACAGATCGCATTGGTATTTATTGTGATAACCTAACTCCAACAGTCCCCTCTCCACAGCATTTCAAGGTTTCTTTCCCTGAAATGCTGTGGAGAGGGGACTGTTGGAGTTAGGTTATCACAATAAATACCCAAGCCTGACAGGGTTGAGAATGACTCCCCCTGCCTTTCAGGCTGCAATCATGTCTGTACAGGCACGTCCACGATGAACCACAGTGGGTCTGGAGCACAGCCACCAATGGAATCCCTCGTTATCAATCTTCTGAAGGCCGTTACGGTTACGTAGAGAAGTCAGTGTCCTGCTCAGTCCACTTCCAGAGCCACTCAGGAAGACAGTAATAAGGAGGCTTACTGGCAGCAGCAACCAAGAGCTACCTAACAGATGCCACAAGAGCAAGCTGCTTTGTGCCTGACAAAGCCTGGGAGAGCAATCTTTTGTGCCTCCCCGAGGCTTGGGGAGTGGAGGGCAGGCTCCCTGGTCTGCAGGATCCGAATCCCAGTTTCTTTCTACGTGGAGTCTCGGGGATGAAGCAGGGAGGAAGAGTCCACACTCGGTTTGTGAATGAAGGCAGGTGTTCGGTCTTGACCCAGGCACGCCAGCTCTGGGCTGCTGCTCAACGCCACGGCCTGCACTCTCTCTGGCCCTCAGGGAGCACACAGGGCTGCAGGGCAGCGGTATCCCACTCCCTTGTCACTCAGCTCCTCCTTCAGGACCTCCGCCCTCTCAGGCAGCCTGCCTCACCCCCAGCCTGGTCTGGCTCCTTGGTCTCAGGTTCCTTCAGAAGCGTTTCTCACCTGTGATCTCTGGTCTCTGCGTGGGATTGCTGTCATGAGCGGCGACGATGTGGGTTATGTGGGCCACCTCCCACGACTGGCTCTCCTGTTTGCTTATGCCCCCGTCCCCCCCTGACCTCCCTGACCACCCTGTCATCCCAGGACCTGGTACCCTGTAGGCACGGAGTAAACAGTTGGTGAGAAATAAACGTTTGCTCCAAATCCCAGAAGCGCCAACACCTTCTATGACTGCAACGTACCACTGCCTCCGAAGCCCGTGCATTTGACAGCCGAGCCTTCTGCCGGTGGGAGAGCACGGTCACTGGGTTTTGTATAAACGGGGGAGTAGGGGGAGTCAGCACAGGCAGAACCAACCCCTCAAAGGCCCCATCAGGGTGGCCCTGCAGGTCCTCCTTGCTCTGCATGACACCTGCCCCCACCCCCCCACCCACTTCCCAAAACCAAACCCAGAGGCCAATAACGGGGGGAGGGGGGGCCCGTGGGGGGAGGGGGGGCGTCTAGCTGGGAGGTCCATGGAGATGAGGTGGGAGGGCCGAGCTCCTGTCCCCCATTCCTGCCCCTGTGCCCATCCCATTCCTGCCCCTGTGCCCCATTCCTGCCCCTGTGCCCCATTCCTGCCCCTGTCCCCCATCCCTGCCCCTGTCCCCCATTCCTCAGGGGTGTCTGGCATCACCTGCTGAGCAGTGACCCTGTGTCCAGGGCCTCCCCGCGGGAAACAAAGAGCATCGGACCGGGGCAGCTCAGTCTCAGATGCGGGGAGGGACAGAGGGGAGAGGCTGGATGGGGCCCATCTCCGGGGGGCATGCGGAGGGCACCTTTCCGCCCCTCGGGGTGTGACCCGGGCGGGTCAGGCGCAGCCCGGGGCACCCCTCCGGCACCGGGGCCGGGGCGTGGGGAGCAGGTGCGGGGAGCAGGCGCTGGTGCGGGCCGGGCCCGGGTGCGAGGCGCGGCGCGGGCGGCAGGCGGCGGCCTCGGCCTGTGGCAGCGGGAGGCGGCGGTGATGTCAGGCGGCCGGGCCGGGCCGGCACTTCCTGTGCGAAGGCGGCGGGCGGGCTCCGCGGCCCCACTCGCAGCGCCGGCCTCCGGGCGCGGGGAGGAGCCGGGGGAGGGCTGTCAAATTCGGGAGCCGGATTCTCCCTGCCCCCGGCCATCCCTTCCGCTTCCCCGGGCCCGGCGAGCCCTCCGCGGGCCGGGAGG